AATTAAAAATTCTTTCGTGCAATTACCATACACACGTTAATATAAGCGGGAACAGTTGACTTTATTCGAAAAATGAAAAAAGTTAGCAAATTATAAAATTTTTTTCTGTTTTTCGAATAAAATCAACCGTCCTTGTCTACATTAACGTATGTATTGTAATTGTGCAAAAGGATTTTTAGTTCTGTGCAGTCGGTATAGTACTAAGAAATTAAAACAGAGCAACTCCAGGATTCCCTTAGAAGAATATTCTTTTCTAAATTTATAAATTCTCGTTATAACCTGGCACATCGAGAAAAAGTTTTATTTAGTCATGGTATACTAAATATATATATATATATATATATATATATATATATATCGGGTTAGGGAAAAAGTCTTTTACACATTAGAGTATAATTGAAAAACTTTTTTTAAATTGTTTGCAAAGCTTTTTGCCAAGTGTGTGCCGTTTTAATCGATGACCTTTTTGCCATTTTTCGGATAGAGCCATTATTCCATCGGTGTAGAACTTTTGAGATTTCTTGGCAAAAGATCGAGATAAGTGATTTTTGTAGGCCTCTTTTGAAGTCAAGTTTACTCCATGACGAGAGTTCTGCAAAGACCGAAATAAATGGTAGTCTGACAGTGCAAGATCAGGATACGGTGGATGCATCGAAACTTTCCAACCAAGCTCTCTCAATTTTGCCGAGTCGTGAGAAATGTGTGTGGTCTAGCATTGTCATGATGGAAGACAATGCCCTTTCTGTTGATCAATTCAACAGTCACTTTTCCTGAATCGATCGCTTCAATTACATTAGTTATTGACAGTACAGATCAGAATTAATCGTTTTGCCTGGTGGCAGCAGTTCATAGTGGACGATTCCCTTCCATCTCCTTCCATCCAATCTCATTAGACACACAGCATCGCCTTCTTTGGCGTTAATCCGGACTTTGCAATCGTTTGTGGTGTCTCTCGCTTCGACCACGATCTTTTCTAAATATTATTGTCGTATGTTATCCATTTTTCATCGCCCGTTATCAATCTTTTCAGAAATGGCTCAATTTCGTTTCGTTTCAGTAGCGATTCGCAAATGGAAATTTGGTCCATTAAATTTTTTAGCGTCAAGTTATGTGGCATCAAAACATCGAGCTTCTTTATATATGCAAATGCCTTAAAACGGTTTTATGATCGATGTTTAGCTCCTTAGCTATGTCATAACAGCTCACATAATGATTTTCTTCCATTTTTTTGAAGATATCATGGACATTTTCCAAAATAGGCCTACCAGAACGATGTGTATTTTTGACATCAAAGTTTCCATTTCGAAATCGGCGAAACCAATTCGCTGCTATTTATCCAGTTAGAACATCCTCTTTATAAGCACGACAAATTTTTCTTTGACTTGTACAGCGTTTTTTAAATAATAATTTAATAATAGTGAAAATCAGAAACATTGTCGACACATTTTACTTTTTTATAATAAAATATTTTATAATAAAAAAGTAAAATGTGTCGACAATGTTCCTGATTTTCACTCAATTTTAAATTTGATTGAATGCACCAATGTTGTTTACATCTATGATGAATCTATTTTAAAGTGTTTTATGAAATGACACTTTTCCAACGATATATATCTAATATGTTACAAAATAGCGCCATGTCAAAAATTAACCAGATATCCATTTATTGGCAATTTATAAAAAGATTTTTTCCCTCTCTATCCCAATATATAACAAAAATATTATAATTTACTGGTACATCATATATTCTCTTAGTTACGATCGATAAACAAAATAATACCTACACTCAGAGAAAAAATTAGTTATAGGAGCTAAAATCTAACTGTAACAACTAAAATGTCTTTGAAACAGAGACTAACTAATATCGTTGCTACAGTAGTTAAATTTATTAACCATTTGAATTTAAGCACTATAGCGAAAAATGTTAACTAGATCACATAATAATACTAAATTCATACTCGCATTCTTGACTAAAATTTTATTGCTTTTTTAAAATGGAAACTATTAATAGATAGATATTAATTATTAATAGATAGATATTAATTTATAGGTAGATATAAACTGTCCTTATAAGATGATAGTGTACGTTAATTTTGCTTGAAATTTAGCTGTTTATTTATTTAATCTTATATTGTATCTAAAAATCACACTTAAGCACTGATAATGGACTCGAATTTGAAACCTCTGAATTGTGAATAAATCATTTTAGATACTACACCATTTCGTCGACTAACATAAACGTGTTCCGTATTATGTATATATAGTCTAACTAGAGAGAGAGAGAGAGAGAGAGAGAGAGAGAGAGAACAGCTAATCAACCTTAACTCCTCGTATTAATAGTTTTGGCTGATAAACTGAACCACTCAGGAAATACATTTTATCTCTAATAGCCAATTTCTAGCAATCACAGCAAAACTCAAACTTGCCAATGAAATTTAACTGCTATTATTACTAAACTATTTCTCTGAGTGTAGATCATGTGATTTAGATAGTGAATCAAACCAATATTTTCAATAACGTTTCTCTATTTATATGTAATGTTCTAGAATATACATGAAAGAAATCTCAGTTCCTGCAACTGAGTAGAGATCAGAAGAGAATTAGGTAACAAGAAATGAAAATTCGTTGGCAAGAAAAAGTCACCTCTATTACTGTGACTGAGAACATTCATACGAACATTCGGCTGCATTAAAACTCGCTTTGGACAATTGAGAGCAATTGATTGAGTAGAAACCTTCTACAAGAACTTTTCTTTTCCTACAATTGAGTTTGGTCTAGACCTCCAGTGCAACAGAAAATTCAGTTACACAGAGTTGTTTTATCCGTGCATCGAATTCACTCTTCAGTTTCGAGTGAAAAATATCCACCCGACGATGCGAAGCGGACAACTGTCCGAGAATGAGATTTTGTATTTCGACAAATTTCGAGAATACAGTGTCTTTTCGAGAAATCGCGCACCGAAACGCGCGCGACTCGAGAACCCCCCCCCCGTCTGAAACGATTATCCGACCGTGTGCAATCGTTGCTGCCGCCGGCGTCGTGTCGTGCGATCCATGTTGGTGCTTCTCTCGCACCGTAAAAACTATGTACCGTACTGTGGCGAACGCGCGGGAGCAAGCTGACGCGCAGGGGAACAGCGCGAAGAATACTCTTACGAACACAGGGTGCTTACGTTAAAGCGAGATTTACAATGAGAATTTAAGCTCTGATCCTTAAGAAATTCGACTAATCACAGTCGAATTATACAAGAAAAATCAATTATGATTAGTCAATTTCTTAAGTCTTACGCCTTAAATTCTTATTGTAGACCTCGCTTAATGATTACGTGTCAGAGACCGCGAACGATCAAAAGCAAAACGCACAAACCGGACGACCCGGCCAGTCACTCGAGTCTCCGACTTATTATTATTATTATTAATGTCCATTAGAGATTTTCATTCGTAGAGGCGACCGGACGCGATTGAGATATCTCCAAAAGAACCTACCACGACGAGAGAAAGGGCGGGAAGAACAAGTCACTTCCGTTTGCCTCGGATCATTTCCTGATCATTCACCGACTCTGTGGACTGCCATGGTCCATATTCGCGGACACTGGTTGAAAATGTTTTGTAAAAAAAAAAAGAGATACAGAGAGGAGAATAAATTTCCTATTCTGACGGTGCGAGTTCGCATTTGCGTTCGAACGATTGTTAAACCAGTATTAACAGTCGTTATTCAGATACTCAAATTTGAGTTTCGAGTTAGATGTGTAAGTTTTCCAGTTGAATTTTACAATTATTGGTATAATGTGACGTGCATCGTATGATTTAACTGAAAAACTCAAATCTAACTCTAAATTGAGATTCTAAGTATCTTACAAATGAAATAAAAAAAAAAGGAAAAATTCCCTGTCGACAAAACGGGCTCGCATTTGCGTTTGAACAGTTGTCAGGCCCGTTAATAGCCGTTAGGAGTCATTCAACAATTATGTCACACTAAATTTGGGTATTTTTTAACCTATTTTTACCATACCTCTCTCTTTCATCGCAGTTTTGTCACAAAATATTTGCTTCTTTCCAATACTATACGTGACACGTGAAAGTAACCCTGCCTTCATCGATACATAGAATGAAAAAAATAACTTATAACCATATTGTGGATAGTAATTATTAGTTAGCTATCTTTTTCTAAAATATAAATCATTTTTAAGTGTATAATATCAAATTCATTATTTTATTTTGACTAATGAAAGTTATTTTTAAAAAATTAAATATTTAAAAATTAACATTTTGATTATTAACACAAAGCCATGTCAAAACTTAAAAATTTTCGCCAAAAGTGCTAACAGTGTAAACAAAACAGATAACTATGCACGTTAATATTTATCAGTTGTGCTATCAGTTTTAATGCTATCAGTTCCATGGCCTTTACTCCATCCTTCCTCGTAATGTGACATAATTGTTGAATAGCCCGTTACTTGAAACTTGTTTCAAGTGAGATATTTAGATTTGGATTTCAAATTAGATGTAAGTTTTTCAATTGACTTTAAGTTATTGATATAATGTTACATCTATCATGTCTGATTCAACTGAAAAATTCAGATCTGGTTTTAAATTCAGACCTGAGTATTTCACTTGAAACAAACTTCAAATATCGACTATTAGTACGGACTTTAACGTTACAATATAAACGAACGAAGGGCAGCCCAACGTCGAAGACGATGCGACAATCGCGGGTCAAATTTAAATAATCAAGCGTATTTTTTCATTGATTCTTTGATTATACACTGAGAAGGAAAGCGATCGGATCGACAAAATCGGCGGTCATTCAAAAACTATTGTGCTCACTGAACAAATTACACGTTGGCGCAATAATTCGTTGCATTGATATAGTTGCCAATCAGATCGCAATCGTTAAGTCAATTTGCTCATTACAGCATCTATATAATTCGTTCAGTGAGCCAAACGTTGTACTTTGAAAACATTTTGTTCGTCCGAGTGAAATTTCGTTGATCTTACTACTTTTTTTCTCAGTGTAGGGACCACTACATTGGTGCACGCGATGATCGGCAGGTACATATGTTCATAATAAATAACACACTCAACCAGGAGGTCGTAAGATTTTTAGCATTTTTTTAGTTTTATAGTGAAACATTACAATCTTATATCGCGCAAAACACGCGATGGAAACAGGTCGACGAATCTCATGCATTATCGAAACGACGCGAAGGAAGATATTAAAGCTCTGGTGAAAGCGAAAACAAAAAATGAGAAGGCTGGAGAACGAAGAGAGAGAGAGAGAGAGAGAGAGAGAGAGAGGAAATGATGAGCATCAACACGAACGCAACCGTCGAGACTCGTTTACTCGGGCGGTTTTCGCTAGCTCGTTTCGCCCTCAGCGTGTCGTCCTCTCGACGACCCACGTCGTATCCGTTCCGACAAGTCCAGAAGCGACAGCACCAAATGGTTCGACATATCCACCCACCCACCCATCCACCTAAGAATCGTCTCCACAAGAGACCCCCTTGCGCAATAATAGACTCGTTTCTTCTGAAACAACAATATTAACCTGCAATAATGTTTAGCACCCGTAGCGCCGCGGAAAATACGCGAGGGTCATTGTTATATCTTTGTATATGGACATTTAATACGCAATAAATATGTATATCATCATCTCACACACCTATATTACACCTATATGCGACAAGTGCAAAACTTCTTCCTGCTCTGGCCGTTTCCTTGCCGTTCTCTATTCGCTCACAGCTATTTTTAGTCTCCGTTCGGTGTTTTTATCGTTGATGAATTATCCCATCGCGCGCCAATTACCATTGCTAATCGTACGCTTGTCGAAGCCTTCTTGACGACTTCGCGTCGTCGCAGCTCTCGCGTCGACGAAGCCGCAATTCCACGGTTAATTCGTTTTTTTTTTCTCTTACCATACATATACGCATCATCAGGATTTCACGGATCATCAGGAGGAAAAGATCGACGAAGCGGGCCCAGAGAGATCGCATCGATCGCGGACCCCTGTCATCTTCCTCCTCTTCTCCTCCACACTCATCGTCAACTTCCCTCCGCGTTGTCCTGTTTTGCGCGAGCGGGTCGTTTGCTCGCGACACGTCATCCCGACACGTGCCGAGCTATCAGCCGCGAATCCCGATGGCGGCCGCGCCATGCGCGCGCAAGATGGCAACAGGTAGCGGAGAGGAAAAAAAGCGAATACAGGACGAGGTGGATAGAGGTGATGAAGATGGCGTGGTGGTGGTGGTGGTGGAGTAGGTGAGCTCGAGAACGCGCGGTGGCAGGGACAGGTGCGTCGATTGTAACGTTGGAAAGGAAGGGGGCGCTTCGTGGCAGCGGCGGCTGTCTGACTTCTCTCTCCAAGTGGGAGTCTCAGAGAACCTGAGGAACGCGTCATGGTGCCTCGGTTCGACGTTCACGATCGACAGTCAAGCGCGGAAAGCCGTCGACGATAGTTCGAGAGAGAGAGAGAGAGAGAGCGGACTTTCCTCCGTGATTTCTCTCGTGGTTTAAGGTGCGCGCGTGCAAGCGTGCGTTCGTGTACTTGCATTAATGCTGCTGGCCGTTGGAGTGTATCGTTTGTAACTGTGCGTGGGTGCGTACGTACGTAAGTGCGTGCGTGCGTGTGTCGGTGAGAGGGAGAGGGAGTGAGAGAGAGAGAAAGAGAGCGCGGAACCGCCGCGCTTCACGGATGACTCCGGTAAGTGAGCGAGTCGCATCCTGCTCGGCGATTTCCTCGATCGAAAAAATTGCGCAAAGAGATTCCGTGCGATTCGTCCTTCCTCCGGCGTGTATTGCATCACCTATTTCGGGCGAATTGCATTTGGGCGCGTTCGCGGCTCGACCGCGAGTTTGAAGTACATATTTCCAATTTCAATATTAGTGACATAATCAAAGTTTACACAAACGTCAATTAAAATGTTGGTTGAAACTCGGTTCAAATGGAATCACATTCTACCAGCTGTTGAAAAAACATTGTTCAAATATACCTATACTCTATGCGATGAAACTTTTTTAACCACTAATGATTAAATGATTGGAGTCGCAAATTTATGAAACAATACGTAACTTAATCATCAGTTGATCAGTAACACGCGTTGACATATATAACAAAGATTGATTAGCTATATATATATATATATATATATATATATATATATATATATATATATATATATATATATATATATATATATATATATATATATATATATATATATATATATATATATATATATATATATATATATATATATATATATATATATATATATATATATATATATATATATATATATATATATATATATATATATATATATATATATATATATATATATATATATATATATATATATATATATATATATATATATATATATATATATATATATATATATATATATATATATATATATATATATATATATATATATATATATATATATATATATATATATATATATATATATATATATATATATATATATATATATATATATATATATATATATATATATATATATATATATATATATATATATATATATATATATATATATATATATATATATATATATATATATATATATATATATATATATATATATATATATATATATATATATATATATATATATATATATATATATATATATATATATATATATATATATATATATATATATATGTCTGTATCAAATGTATCTTACAAGAATAAATTACAAGAATAAATATAAGTAAAAGGATCAAGAATTTTGTAAAACATAGAGTAATATTTATTAATGGAAATAATAATATAATATAAAGATAAAATAGAAAATAAAATACGGATGTAGTTTTTACAAAAGAAAAAGAAAAGTGTT